GAGTAGGGAATTTGTGAGAATATGTGAATTTGGTCGATTTTGTGGCGCTAATTTCAAAAATCGATGTTATATGGGCCAATACCGGGGCCTTCAGCCTCGTTTTGATGCATACAGTCTCGTTTTGGGGCATACATAGGGAACACGTTAGTTTTCTTAGTTAGCTAGGGAAACCAGTGATTTTGGTCAATTTCGGTGCGCTGATTTGAAAAATCAATGTTACACGGGCAAATATCGAGGCCTTCAGCCTCGTTTTGGTCATGCAGCCTCGTTTTGGTGCAAATAGAGGAAATCATTAGTTACCATAGATTGGCAAAGTCGTTGGTGATCTTGGTCAATTTCGGTGCGCTGATTTCAAAAATCGATGTTACACAAAAAATACCGAGGCCTTCAGCCTCGTTTTTGTGCGTACAGCCTCATTTTGGTGCCTACATATGTGCCTTAGATAGCCAAGGAAGTTGGTGATTTTGCTCAATTTTGGTGCACTAATTTCAAAAATCGAAGTTATATGCGCAGATATATTGGAACCTCTAGCCTCTGTTTGATACACATATCTTTGATTTAGTGGAACTATTGGGAAGATCCTACTTAAACAAGCAAGAAAGCTAGTGATTTCTGCTCTTTTTAATAAAAAGCAATTCTGTCGCCCCATTAAATTGAGGTCATGTTATGCATGGCATTAAAAAACATGTACATTCTGATTACAAACCTTGCATTTTCCTTTTCAAAATTCACTCGTGTCTTCCATTTCCACATCCAAATCATCCTCGTAGTCATCATCGGAGGACAAACTGTTCTAACTCTCCGTGCCTGCGAGTAGCGCATCAATCTCCTCGGGATAGGAAATGTCACTCCAGACAACGTTTCCATCTCCATATCCATGCTAGTCGGGGCTCTCAAGTTCTAGTAGCAGCTGATCGGCGTGTCAAAAGATGTACGCGACATAGTTAGCTCTCATGATGTGATGATATTTGACTGGCATGGTGGCATCAGACTTAGGTCGATGATCTTCTTCTCCTTGTTGAACTTGTTCCAAAATACTTTATTCCTTGCCTCATTGACAGAGAGGATACTTGGTTGCCCGTATATAGAACAGACGAACCATTCTAAACCCCGAACCAACTCCTCGCTTGCTGTCACCTCCGTACCCAAATGTGAAAATATATCGATAAAGGCAGTGTTCTTGGACACAGCTTTCCACACGGCCTGCTTTCCCTTGGAAAAATGCTAGATACGTAATCGTTTCCGGAAAAGGCATGCATTCCCAGAAGAGCTCTTCTGTAACCAAGGGACAATCCAGTTGACGTCACATCGATGATTTTCCTGTTCTTCCTGCTGCCATTGTCAATCAGAATCTGCGTGTCCGAAAAATAGTGACCAATGAACAAGGTTATTATGTTTATATCACCAGATGGCGACCGTACCATTGCAGTTGAGCTAGGTGGCAATTGGCTAGCATGCACACATGCAACGAGTTTTTTGTCCGCTTCCTCGCGGTCGCTGGTTAATTCTGGTAATAAACTCGTTGCATTTGTGCATGCTAGCCAATTGCCATGTAGCTCAACTGCAATGGTACGGTCGCCATCTGGTGATATATACATAATAACCTTAGCTTGTTTATTGGTCACAATTTTTCGGACACGCAGATTCCGATTGACAATGGCAGCGGGAAGAACAGGAAAATCATCGACGTGACGTCAACTGGATTGTCCCTTGGTCGCAGATGAGCTCTTTTGGGAACGCATGCCTTTTCCGGACGATTATGTATATAGCTTTTTTCGAAAGGAAAACCAGGCCGTGCGGAAAGCCGTGACCAAGAACACTGCCTTTATCGATATATTTTCATCCCTGAGTACGGAGGTGACAGCAAGCGAGGAGTTGGTTCGGTGTTTAGAATGGTTCGTTTGTTCTATATACGGGCATCCACGTATCCTCTCAGTCAATGAGGCAAGGAAGAAAGTATTTTGGAACAAGTTCAACAAGAAAAAGATCATTGACCTTTGTCTAATGCCACTATGCCAGTCAAATGTTCATCATCACATCATGAGAGTTAACTATGTCGCGTACATCTTTTGACACGCCGAAGTCGCCGATCAGCTGCTAGTAGAACTTGAGAGCCCCGACGAGCATGGATGGGACGGAGATGGAAGCGTGTCTGGAGTGACATTTCCTATCCCGGGGAGATTGATGCGCTACTCGCAGGCACGAAGAGTTAGAACAGTTTGTCCTCCAATGATGACTACGAGGATGATTTGGATGTGGAAATTGAAGACACAAGTGAATTTTGAAAAGGAAAGTGCAAGGTTTGTGATCAGAATGTACATGTTTTTTAATGCAATGCATAACATGACCTCAATTTAATGGGGCAACAGTATTGCTTTTTATCAAAAAGAGCAGAAATCACTAGCTTTCTTGCTTGTTTAAGTAGGATCTTCCCAACAGTTCCACTAAATCAAGGATATGTGTATCAAACGGAGGCTAGAGGTTCCAATATATCTGCGCATATAACTTCGATTTTTGAAATTAGCGCACCGAAATTGAGCAAAATCACCAACTTCCTTGGCTATCTAAGGCACATATGTAGACACCAAAACCAGGCTGTATGCACCAAAACGAGGCTGAAGGCCTTGGCATTCCCCCGTGTAACATCGATTTTTGAAATCAACGCACCGAAATTGACCAAAATCACTGGTTTCCCTAGCTAAGACAACTAACGTGTTCTCTATATATGCCCCAAAACGAGGCTGTATGCATCAAAACGAGGCTGAAGGCCCCGGTATTGGCCCGTATAACATCGATTTTTGAAATCAGCGCCCCAAAATTGACCAAAGTCACATGTTCTCATAAATTCCCTACTCGGGTTACGATACCCCTTCTCCTCCTGGACTAACATAGATAGAGTGTAATATAGTTTTTCGTTTTACCTCAAAAAAACTAGGGTTGGAGTTATGGTTAGGGGTTAGGTGCCACGAATTTATCATAAAATATGATAAATTCGGATGTGTTTAACGATTTACTTATATAGTAAATTCAAAGATGGAGCTTAAGCTGAAATAAAGAGGAAAGCAAAGTTCTTTTCATGCGAGGGGAGTTTAGTTTTAAGGACATTTTTAAAGTTTTGCGAAGAGTTTGCGGTAAAATTTTGCATTAAATTTAGCTTACAGTATATTACGTATAATAATATAACTGGCATATATTTTTGTGAAATAACTGAAAATCTGGAATTGATAATTTTATAATTAAAAGTGATATTTTTTAAGGTTTTTTCAATTTTAAAAATATTCTTAAATCTTAATAAAATTATCCTGTTACATGCATGACAACTACTGTTATGCACGTCGCATAATATATATCGAATTTCCTCCGTTAATACTTAACGTTCGTTTAACATACGGATAAATTAAAAATAAAAAAACTTTACTATCAAATAATAAGGTAAAATACTTAAAACATAACTAACTTTGAGTTTGAAAAGAAATAACCTCGAGTAATCGAATAAATAAATACGTGTTCAATCGAATAATATTAGCTTGTTGTTTTTTTTTGTGTTAAATTCCCCGTATGTGAAAGCGGATCGCACGTGCTTAGCCTGCGATCAGGCTCAACGTAAAAGCAACAAATGTTATCGAAACCCTGTTCATGTCTTACAGTTTATCACAACTACTTAAATATTTCATGTTGGAAAATATAATGGTTTTTGCTAGAAAGGTGAGGGGATTCTGCATGCATGTATTTCTAGTATATGCATTGTGTATTTATACACACAAGTGGTAGAACATATGTTTAATTCCTAGCTTGTGCGCTTACGGGAAGCATTCACCCCTCTGAACGTCTGCCATTTTGAATATTTTCAGTGAGTGATCGCCTGTCGCGAGTAATCGCATTGGCTAGGAACATGGCGACATCATTGCAGCGGTTATGCCAAAATCATAGGCGCCGTCAAGAAGTCGGACTTCTGTGTGGTCTCTACAATCTGTACCATGACGGTTCGCTCGATTCTATATGCGTGACGTATGCGTGTTGTCAAAAACTTCGCATGCCTAAACAGTACGCGCGTGTTTCCCATGAATACCAGAACCCAATACCTGCAGGTAGCAAAGGAAATTTTTCCAATGACTCGTGCATTTTATTTTAGTTTACTGGAGTGATATTTGTCGATGAGGCAACGAAAGAAAAAGCGGCATTTAACAAGAGTGGTCCAGCTGTTACTTTTTCTGGTAATTATAATAAGAAGGCTGATGTATTTCGCTTGTGGACCGCACAAGGTGTTGCTTCAACAGATTACAAATATCAAATGTTAATTTGCGACACGGATTTCTATAAGGGCCTCCATTTCTCTGGGTATATTGATGGCTGCTTCAAGGAATGTGATGTCTGGTGTAATGACAATAATTCTCCATACTTTCGCACATCTCCTGTCTCGTACCCGGATTACCAAGGTGTTGCTTTCAACGAAAATGGTCACAGGATGTTGTCAAACCGTCTGATAAGTGCAGGAATTCGTTAACTACTAAACTAACTTGAATCTTAAAAGAATTTATTAGATCTTGACAAGCTTATGTGTAGCCTTGCTAACTTTAAATTCGTCTGGACTTGGTTATCAGTACGAACACCCAATATATTGATCTGCGTCGTTAACTTGGCCTGAAAATTTGAAATGTTTTTATGTTAAAACTAGAAGTGAAAACATAGTTTTAGAACAGGTATGACAGGCATATAAGTCGAGATATTTATACAGATGGTTGGTAGTACAGTAACTGCTTGTTGTCCGCAAATTCATTTATTTTTCCTTGCGGCATTTTGAGAACACTTTACATTCTCAGCGAACAAATATTCTACATTTATACGCACCTCGTCAGCTATCAGTTCGTATACGACTCGAGTTCGCAGAATAACTGTCAAATATACGGCGGATAGCTCAAGAATGCTGTCATATTGCAGAATAATCTCGAACTGTCTGTGCCTGTGTGGGTAGTGCCAATAATATAAACAAGCCTTCCTGCAGGGATGCAACTACATAAAATATATAAGGAGAATTTCGACGTTTCGAGCGAAGGTCCTACGTCTGGAGTTACTATCGAGGATCGGGAAAATTCCATGCGCTTTTATACTAAGCTAAGAATATAAAAGCGACCACGTGACAAAAAATAAACCAATCAGATGGATTTAGTAAAAACAAAGTATAAACAACAAAAACTGTAAATCGCATCATAGGTCTCCCGAAAATGTTTTTTATTTTTAAAAATTCCTTAAAATTCCTTTAAAATGCAATACTTTAACATACAATGCTTCAATCTACGGTAAAACGTCTATTATTCGTATTACATGAAGTACGTATAACACAGTGTGCAGCGTTGCATCCAGCCTTACATGCATAAAAACGCTGAGCCGGCTGTTTAGCAGGATTAATATATTGAACAATGTTTTGCTGCCCACGTTGTTCACACATGTCAACAATATTGAACAATATTGTTGAGCCTGAATCGGGTGTAACAATATTGTTCAATATTGTTGACAACTGTGAACAATGTGGGTAGCGAAACATTGTTCAATCCTGTTTTCATCAGCATTGCAACAACCTGATTGTTTTTAGCCGTGCTACACAGGCACAAACGAACAATCTGTTCTGGGTTGAAGTCGACAGTCATGAACAAATGAACAATCTTGTGCTGTACTCCTTGGCCAATGTTGTTAACAACGTTTAACAGCATTGATGGACCCATCAATGCTGTTAAATATGTTGTTAACAACATTGTCCAATGGGTGCAGCAGAACATTTTTCATGACTGTTGACATCAAACCCAAACAGGTTGTGGGTTTTTGCCTGTATATGTATTAACAAATATAAAACATTTTCCGTGTTGATATACAGTTATATCAACACGAGTGGAATTGGGAAAACGAGAAATTGTATGGAAACACGACTCCCGAAGGGCGGAGTGTTTTCATACAATTTCGAGTTTTCCCAACTTCCACTTCCAAATTTCCGTGTTTACAAGCGGCGGAAAATTTCCCGTGTTGACATTGAGTTATATCAACACGGCTCTTAGCCAATCAGCGTTCAGAATTTACAAATGCTATATTATAATATGATATATTATACATAATGGCACAACGCTAAACACTGTGTTACACGTACTTCATGTCATACATGTCCGACATGATACGGATCGTGAAGCAGCTTCAAGATCCGTCAAAATCGTACGGACTGTAAACACGAGTCACGATCCGTATCAACTCGTAAACGCAATAGGTGGTCTCCAATAGCGGATGCTTGTTGCCCAGATTTACCAACAGTTCGACGGATCGTACCGTTCGTACGGCTCGTAAGACGATTCACGATCCGACAAATCCGTACGGACCGTACGTGGCTTTACGGACCGTACGAAGCGTACGATTCGTGAAAATGATTTACAGATTGCGAACCTATAATAACTTCAAACACTATATATAGCCTATATGCTGTTTGCTATGTCAATATAATATGTTGTTGCTCCGTTCTTGAGAAACCACGCAATATATTAGTATGATATGTTGTTGCTCCGTTCTTAAGAAACCACACAATATATCAAAGAAACCACGCAATATGTACTATTTAAAACACGAGTAGGAGTGTTTTATCAGATATATAACGCGAGGCGCAGCCGAGCGTTATATATCTGATAAAACACGACAACGAGTGTTTTGAATAGCTTAAAATACGACTACAAAAGAATACTAATTACGATGAACCATAGTATAATCATGCTAATTAAGATGAACAATTATATAATGCCACATGTGTTTTATCAGATATAAAGTCACTCCACGTGACATATTATGGCTGACATGAAATCTATTTCAAACACTCATTAATAACCCATAAGCTTATTGGCAAATCATGTCAACCATAATATGTCACGTGCAGTGGCTTTAAACCTGATAAAACACTCCTAATTAGTATTCTTTATATAAAGAATACTAATAAGGCAGTATCTATTGTAGTCGTGTCCTCATTAGTATTATTTATATAAAGAATACTAATAAGGCAGTATATATCTATTGAATTTGTAGTCGTGTTTGAAGCCGTCGCAGGTCGTGTTTTATTAGGTCTAAAGCCACTCGCGCTGCGCGCTCGTGGCTTTAAACCTAATAAAACACTCCTGCTCGTTTATTAAACAGTACATAATATGTTGTTGCTCTGTTTTAAAGAAACCACGCAATATATCAATATAAAATTGTTGTTACTCCGTTCTTAAGAAACCACGCAATATATCAGTATAATATGTTCTTGCTCCGTTCTTAAGAAACCACGCACTATATCAATATGTAGGCTAATATATTGTTCCTCCGTTCTTAAAGAAACCACGCAATTTATCAGTATTATATGTTGTTGCTCCGTTCTTATAAGAAACCACGCAATATATCAATATATATGTTGTTGCTCCGTTCTTAAGAAACCACGCAAGAAACCAATATAATATGTTGTTACTCCGTTCAGTAAGAAACCACGCAATATATCAATATAATATGTTGTTGCTAAGTTCTTAAGAAACCATGCAATAGAGGGTGTATCAAAATACCTGCAAACACTATATAATTTGCATAATTCTACTGCTTACTAGCATTTCAATGTCTATGCTACCTAAAGGCCGGATTCCACGAGGCGGAATTTTTCGACCGAAACGAAATTTCTCTTTGTCTTTTTACAATTAGTTCTGCTCGAGAGCTCTGAAACAAAGAGAAATTTCGATTCGGTCGAAAAATTAAAGGCGGTTTTCCACTAGGCGAAATTTTTCGACCGAATCGAAATTTCTCTTTGTTTCAGAGCTCTCGAGCAGAACTAATTGTAAAAAGACAAAGAGAAATTTCGTTTCGGTCGAAAAATTCCGCCTCGTGGAATCCGGCCTTAAGGCTGATTTCCACTGTTGTGTTTTTCGTACGCACGTACACGCACGTACAACTTTGAATCCTTCTATTTTTTAAATATTTTACAAATAAGATAACAAATGCATACTAAAACTTGCGGAACACTAAATTCTGTTGCTTTATTTATTTGGTTATTTCATAAGTAACATTTAAACGGATTTAAAGTTTTACGTGCGTATACGTACGTATGAAAGACGAAAACTGTCGTGTCGGAAAGATGTCCGATCTTCTGCTGTCAGGTTATGAAGATGTTCCCCATCTTTTCTTTACCAGTGGAAAAGAGTCTTAGATTATTCTTTACAATACGGCGAATACGCCAAGTTAGACTAACGCGGTGCAGCTAGTGCTATAGTTTTTTTAATAATATCTATAGAATACTTTTTGTAAAAACTCTTGCGTCAGAAAGATGTCTCATCTTTTGCTGACAGGTTATCAAGATGTGCCATCTTTTCTTAACCAGTGGAAGCTTAAAAGGAGTCTTATATTATTCTTTACAATGACTTGTCAACAGTCAGCATCGTAAATATCATCCTGACATATTTGTACACATTTATTTTAATGCATAACAGAAAATTAACTTATTACTTGCTTGGTTTCACACTGCGTTTAAGTAACTGAACCTGGATTGATGACATCTTATAGCGGTAATTAATAATGTGATTAGCCTTGCTCGCTTCCTGAAGTTGTAAACTCAGCTTGCAGATCCGGTTGTTTTTCAAAACGTGCGAGTATGAGATATACTATATACCGAGCCAAGGAATCGAGCTCGGAATCGAGTTCGGAATTCGAGCTCGGAATTCGAGCTCAGAATCTAAGTTTTATTTAATAGTCTAGGACCTGTATATGAGTTTGTATGCATTTCATTTAGCACAGGTAATCTCAACTGTTTTAGGGTAAAATGACCATGGCGGTCAACATGGCATATGTGCCAAAACCTGAATCCAGGACAAAAGTCCTGAAAATAATCCCGCCCTGAAACGGCAGTGTCGACATGGCTGTAACTTCCGAAAAGGAAAATCGATAGCCTTTCTGAAGTGCTTATAGTGTTCAGAAGGGTTGCTTTTAGGGGTGGTCAGTAGCCTGAAATGTCAGGTGTTCTCCCTGCTTGAACCTGACATTTCAGGCTAGGGTGGTCAGTGGAAGGAAAAATTTGTGTAAGTATAATATTTTACAAGAAAATGACCATGCACCACCCCCAGGTAAATTGCTAATTATGCATAAATAACTAATATGCCTGGCAGAAGTGAAATATCCCTATTTCCTAAAAACAAATATCATGAGGATTGTCATAAGGATTGTCATTGTTTTCTTTAAATATAATACCATATTTTGCCGTCTTGTTTGCTTTTTATCGCCAACTGAAATCTGGCAAATATCATCCAGTTGTTGCACTTTTACATAACATGATCGTACGATCTTTACGGATCGTACGATCCGTAAAGCCATTTTACAGTTCGTACTGACCGTACGATCCGTACGGATCGACAAACTTTTATGCCCTGACTTAATCACGCGCACAGGGAGCAGAGGAGTCACTCGACTCTAGTAAAACAATACAAACGCCGTCTTACCTTGTTAATTGTAACATATTTCATTGTA